AAGCTACAGTTTTATATGCATATAGTATAAAATTTATATGTATGTATACTGCTAAAAAAAATTATGGCATAGAAAAATTTTGGCATAGAAAAATTTTGGACAAACATTGATCACTTTGATTGATGATAACTGCGAAAAATTATTGTAGAATAACGTTTTTTTTCTTTTAAATTAAAGCTCGAAATCTCTACTTTAAGACACTATGGTCAGATTTTAAGGTTAATGCATCTCTAATGAACATTTCCAATGATTAAAAAACCGCAAATTTCTTATAAAAACTATTTAATAATTCTATAAAAAAATTCTATAAAAACTATATTTAAAAAATAATAGTTTCTCTATTATTATGATGTCCGAATATTAATGCGAGTCACTGTATATGCGTGCGTGCGTGCGTGCGCGCGCGCACGTGTGTGTGTGTTTGTGTGTGTGTGTGTGTGTGTGTGTGTGTGTGTGTGTGTGTGTGTGTGTGAGAAGGAAAGTGGTGAAATTGTGCGCATTTAAGGAGAATTCATTGTTATATGATTATGATTTTTGAAGTTGAAGTCAATATAAACACGGAAATATAAAGTATAAACGTTCTATCTATATGCATTCTTCATTGAACAATATTTTTCATTTGATAATGTTATATTTCACAAAAGTAAAAAAAGCAAAAGCGAAAAAACTTTTCGCGTATCTGATAATTGTGCGCATGGATTAGGTAATTGTGCGCAAAGTTAAAACCGTAAGAAATAAATATACAATTAATAAAATATTAAGTAAATATTTCATGAAAAATGTTTCATAGAATGTTGATAAGAAAATAAAAAAATATATTATTATGTCGATGGTAATACAAAATTAATATAAACTTTAAAAAAATAAAACAAAAATTGAAAAAATTATAATTATTTAAACAAAAATCGTATATGTAATTTTCAGCGTCATCAATTCCATTGTATTACTCTGCATTCTTCATGGATTCATTCAGAACACAGACAACATTGAAAACACCTATTCGATACAAATTAAAAATAACGTATTGTCAATTAATGTTATAATTTCATATTCTACAATATAATTCCTTCAAGAAACATACAAAAATAAACAAAAAATCAAAATATCAAAATAACTATATTTTGAAGTTTAAAGTCAACAAATAGTCAAATTTTGTACCCAAAAATCATCCTTTTGACATCAAAGTATGTGATTTTGATTTTCTCTCGTCTTGGTATGTTCTTTGAGCTGTTATATAACACCATGTATTATATTACATTTATATTGTGAAATACGAAATTACAACATTAATATCATATTACTTTTAGTTTCTCAACTGCAGAGTTCCATATCTTCCGAATTCTTTATAAATATGCACTTTTCATTGAAAAGAAACTTTATCCACACTAAACGCTAACTGATTAATTTTCTCTATTTAGATCTTGTTCCTCACTGAATTTAAATATATAAACCAATCACATCTAAGAATTTTGTAACAGTGCGAAACTGCTTTTTCTACTGAACGCAGCCATTCGGACCGCAGCCCATGTTGTCCCTTCCACTATGGTATGAACGGATCGGCGCTTTCGATTGTGGCGCTACAAAGTTGCTCGTTTGTAGAAGCCTAATTGACTAATTACATTTTTTTTCTTCCATGCGCATTTTGATTTAGCACTTTTCCAATAAATGGAGCCACTGTGGTGAAATTTCTAAACTAAATGTAATTCTTTTCGGATATAACTATAAGTTATATAATTTGAAAATGTAATTAAGGATAAAAGTGAGAAAAAGTGAAATTATATATTTTGATAAAAATTTTGGCATTCAGAAAATAAGATGATAAGTCCGTATTCTTATTTTGTTTATTTAATTTTTCGTGTATACTTACTAAAATACATTATTATGTGCGCCTTTTGAACTTTTATTCATTGAATTTAATTATAAAGTTGAGTAATCGTTTTTCTTATCAAATCAATTCGCGGCCGAAAATTGTGTGGATAATTCTTTAATATGATTGATTCTTGCCTTTAGTTCTTCGCAAAATCTAAGTATAGGAACCAATCGTATTAAAGAATCACTAAACACTAATTGATTAGTTTTGTTTGTTGAACGTAGACATTCATATTAAAGAATTTTACTACAGCTGCAAAGCTGCTTTTTCTGCTAAACACAGTCATTCGCTTACAGTTTTATCAGTGCTTACAACATTAATGGCCGCAGATTCTTACATAACGCATAATGTATAATGCATAAGGAAATCAACCAATTGAAATTCTTCTTTTCCATGGAATAGGAGGAAAGATTCTGATTGATTCGCTTATGCATTATGCGTTATGCAAAAGTCTATGCTATGGCATTAATGATCGGTCCTAGAATCTATATATGAAAGAAGCGACATCGGCGTCGCGATTTCTTATTGGTGATTAAAGCAATCATATTATGTCCATAGTGGAGAGCTATCATATGTTTTCTTGCTATCTACAGCTGAACTAATACATATACATATCTAAAATATACAATATGTCGTTTATCTTTTTATGTACATTTGTAATTGCATTACTTAATCGCTACATTATTTAATAAAAAAACACAAAAACATTAATACTTGCTTAATCTCATCCTGACGGAGTTCATAATTTCTATACTGGAGCAAATGGAGTATAACGGTTAACTGGAACGGGCCAAACATACGGTACTAAACATATGTTAGAGGTGATAGTGAGGATGAATGTCGCTTCTCTCATATATAGGACTCTAATCGGTCGAATTAAATAGTGCGCTAAGGTACTTTTATTTTGGACTGGTCATAAGTATATTTCATAAATTGAAAAATATAACCTGATATTGAAAATTAAATAGAAAGCGTATGTACAGTCGATCACAGAGCAGTTGAACGTAAATAGATCCAATCAATCGCTCGATGAGCAAAGCTGAGTTCCGAAACTTATCGAAAAAAAGTGTTGCAACTTTTCTGTGACCGGCTGTATATGGTCCGCATAATAGAAGAAATAATATTAAAAATAGGAATTAATATTAAATAGTAGAAAAAGAAAAAATTAGGAATAAAGATTAAATGTACGCACTAAATACAATTAATAAAATATGACTCATAAAATATAATATCTCATGTTCTATTTATATCATTAAGCATTTACATATTTATTTCCTAATTTTTTATTTCTAATATTTAATATTTATTCCCAATTTTGTTCTTAATCTTTTATCTATTATATGCAGGATTTATAACTTAAAAGAATATCTCGACAATTGGTCGAAAAAAAAAGGAAATGGATTCGAGATAAATGAAAAAATTAAATTACTGCAATTTTTTGAATTTTGTTGCTACCAAACCAATGATAAAGATGACGATTTAAAATTTTATTAAATATCTCAGCAAAATGGATTGAAATGAATTGAAATGAATCCAGATTTTCAGAAATATTAATTCACGAATGTTAAAATGAATGCTTTTCAATTCTGAATGCATTTTTATTCATTTATAGGAATTACATGGAGCATATGCCTTTCAATCTAAAAATAATATTAGCTTTTTCTGTTCAACACAACACACATTGTGAATACTGTTTAATTCAAAATTTTGAATAAAAAATATAATTTTTCAATCCAATTGCATCCAATTGAATCCACTTGAATTCAATTAAATCCAAATTCGGATAGAAAAAAATTTCAATCTATTTTAATCCATTCTCATTTGCTACGATGTCTTCAATTAACGAGAGCAAAGAGATAGATGTAAAAGATTTTATTACAGTTTTATTTAAGTCTAAACAGACAAAGAAGTGAAACATAAATTAAATCTTATATCAAAGAATATGTGGAAAAAACTTTCTAATTATACAGCTGAAGAATTTAAAACGCGCTTCAGTTATAGCTAATGACCATTGCTCGAATTCATGAAAACATAGTATCATAATAATGATTATTTTAGAATAATTGTTAATATAAATTGCGAAATTCCAATTGCTTTATTTACAGATTATTTCTTACAACTTTTGAGTTTTTATTGGAATTAATAGAATCTATATTAATTAAATCTTAATAACAGTCTATACCAGTCCAGAAACAACTTCTGTTAGCTTTGTGGATGATGGCAACCAGATTTATATAGGTATAATAACATAGCTTCTCGCCAAGAAAAAGAGAAAGTTTTTTATTATAACATTATATGCAATCCGAATTATAGATCTGTGTGTGTGAAATTCGAAGTAGGAAAAGCTACAGCAATTCGTATTATGAGAAGAGTTACTTATGTCTTGCACACTCTTGTTCTACGATTTATTCAGTAGCCTCAGGATGAGAGAGAGCAACCAAAATGATGGAAAAATTGAAAGAGCTAGTGGATTTCCTAAAGTTGTAGGAGCTATTGATATGTACATTAAAATAATAACTCCGCGCAGGAGGATAAACAATCAGATGTGAACCGCAAAGGATATCACTCAATCCATATACAAGTAAGAATTTAAAAACTATCTTTAAAAATGATTAGAAATTCTTATTAGTTTCTCTATTTTATTAGTTTCTATTTTATCTTTTTAGATAGTTTATACTCAAAAATTGCTCTTTACAAGCGTTTTGGCTGAATGTTAGATCGGTGCACGATGCACATGTTTTCTGGCTCTCTTCTGTCGGATAATATATTAAAAATTCACAAATCTATTTTCTTAATGATTCTCACATTGTCGGAGATACGGCCTATAGTATTCATCCTCATATTATGCCTTTTAAGGATAATGGGCATCTAACAGACAAAAAATTTTAATTTTTATCAGTCTTTAGCAAGAATTGAAAGAGCAATTAGGAAAGTACGCTGGAGAAGCATTTTTGATTATTTGGCCATAGAAAAAAATTTCTGAATACTTAATAGCTACTTATGTCATTCTTTCTCTTCTATGTTTCGTTCTCACGTTGGTAATCGTAATTGAGTTAACTTGATAACGTTATTCGGTATTGGTGAAAGAGGCCTTAAAGGTGACTTTTATCAAGTTCCAATTAATTTAACATTCTAGGCTACATTCCAAAACTTCCTCTCTTGAGTAAAATTTACTCGAAATATATAGTATGTAACGTATACTATAGCATATAGAGTAAAATCTTCCTCAGAGAAGAAGTTTTGGAACGTAATCCTAGTAATTTTGCAGGATTCCAGCTAAAGTGTTGGAGAATGTCTCTGACATCTGTTTCAGTTGGAATCCTACAAAGTTACTAGTAGAGACCTATATATAAGAGAAGCGACATTCATCCCCACCTATCACCTCTATCATATGTTCAGCACCGTATGTTTGGCCCGTTGACCAATTCCGTTATACTCCATTTATTCCAGTATAGGAATTATGAACTCCGTCAGGATGGGATTAAGTAAGTATTAATGTTTTTGTGTTTTCTTATTAAATAATGTAGCGATTAAGTAATGCAATTACAAATGTACATAAAAAGATAAACGACATATTGTATATTTATTTTAGATATATGTATCAGTTTTGCTGTAGCAAAAAAACATAGCTCTCCACTGTGGACACAATATGGTTACTTTAATTAGATAGAGATACCATCAATTAGAAATCGCGACGCTGATATCGCTTTTCTCATTTATAGGACTCTACTACTAGAATGGTTAAGCTAGGCCGCGATCAAAGTCTCTACAAACGTTTTGAAGCATTTGATAGACCAATTAGAAGAAAGAATTTTACAAACTGACCAATTAAAAAACGCTGCAAAGTAACGCTTTGCAGCATCGTGTTGACCATACTCTTAATCGAAGCTTGATAAAAGCCTAAGGATGAAATCACACGATGCGAAAAAGGGCTGTGGAATAGAAAATGCGTCATTGAAATAACCAAGAATTGAAATAACCAAGGATCCGATGAATCGTCGGATTTCCAATTCAACCGACCAGTGATACTCATTGATGCATTTCAAAAAATTCTCTAATTGGACTTTGATGATTAGAAGTAATTGGATTAAATCGAATAGATTGTGAGAAGTGCAATTTGCGTAATGTAAATTTAATAAAAAGAAAACGTAAAAACGAAGGTATGTGCGTTAATTATTATTCTAATAATTAATATTGTGTATTTTATTCTAAAATATATATCAATAATGGAAATACATATACAGTTTAGTAAAAGAAGTCTGGAAAAGCAAAATATAACTTCACTGTATTAACTTTTAATTATAACTCGAAGTTATAGTTACTAATTATAATTTTTAATTATAACTCAAAAGGTATTAATAATTATATATATTATTATTTTTATTATACATATCATTATAATTATCATATTTATTATACATATCATTACATTTATTATACATATCATTACAGAAAACTGTTGAAGCCTTATTTGTTAGATGAAATCAAAATGTTATTTGTTTTTATGTAAAAATATGTTACGAATATGGACTCATGTGCAGTAATTACTTTATTCTATGTAAATAGTATTCAGTACAAAATAACAAATATTGGGTTGTCCGGAAAGTTGTTCGTGCCGATTTTGAAGAAAAATTGAAACGCAGAAGATTTAAATTTTAATATATATAGTATATAGTTTATTAAATTATATAGGTGCCATTCTGTTCTACAATCTTTCTCCATCTTTCAGGCAACTTGAAAATTCCGTTCTTCCAGAATCTCTCAGGTTTTTCAGCGAAAAACTTTTCTAAGTGATTTTTTACCTTGATCAAAGAGTTGAAGCTTTTTCCATTAAGGGAATTTTGATAATGATCGAAATAGGTGGAAATTAGAGGGCACGAGGTCTGGTGAATATAGTGGATGGGGTAGAACATCCCAACCGAGCTCCAACAACTTTTGTCGAGTTATCACAAGACACATGAGGCCGCGCATTGTCCTGATGAAACACGACGCCCTTCCAATTTGCTATTTCTGGATGTTTTTGTTCAATTGCTGTCTTCAATTCTAATTGGGAACAATACTTCTCTGAATTTATCGTCTCGTTGTTTGGTAAAAGTTCATAATATAGGATCCCTTTCCAATCCCACCAGACACAGAGTATGACTTTCTTTGGATGAAGACCGATTTTTGGGGTGGCTAAAGTTCATTCCGTTTTCCCCAAGATCTTTCTCGCTCAACATTATTGTAAATGATCCATTTTTCATCCCCCGTCACTACTTGCTTCAATAATGGTATCTCCTCATTGCATTTATAGAGCGAGTCGCAAATGGATATTCGATCCATCAGATTTTTCTCCGTTAAATTGTGGGGAATCCGTAAACAATTTATGTAGCTAAGCTTCACAAAATGCTCGTGGATGGTGGATTTTGACATATTCAACATTTCTGCTAATTTACGTGTTGTATAGCGTGGGTTATTCTCGATCAGTGTTTTAATCTGATCTTCATCTATGGTGGAGGGCCTTCTTGATCTTCAAGGTTGAAATCACCAGCTTTTTAAACCTAACAAACCTCTTCCGTACAGTTCTTTCAGCTACAGCACCTTCGCCATAAACAACGCATATCTTGTTTGCCGCTTGTGTGGCATTTTTGCCTTTAAAAGAAAGCATTAAATAGTAAAAGAAAAACATTAAATGCCTAAAATATACTTTGTTTTCTTCCATATTCAAAGATGTATAAAACTGACAAAAATTATATTATTGCAACCAAATTTTTTTCCAAGTATGCCTGAAGTACCGTCTTTTACGATATGTACGCATGTCATTTGTTTTCAATTGTTCTGATATATTCAGACCTGTCCTTACACCATCTACCAAAAATCGACACGAATCCTTTCCGGACAACCCAATAATAGATAAACATTGTTTTGTCATTATCTGTGACAGAATACAGAAGGAAGAACAATGTTCTCATAATAATTATTAATTTTCAAGTGTGATTCTCTGACATGATACATTTCTATTGGCCAATCATCTTCATCATCCTCATTATTAAAAAAAATATTTCATAAGACAAGTACAATATGTCCATCCAATATAGGTTTTTCTTATGTTTATTAATAATTCATATAAATATATATAAAATAAAATATAAATACATTGTTATTGCAATATAATAAATAGTGCAATAGTATAAATGGATGAAAAATAACACAAATAACATTTTGACTTAATTTAATAAATAAGGCTTCAACAATTTTCTGTAAAATATAATAATATGTATAATAAATATAATAATATAATTGTATATAATTGTTAATACTCTTTGAGTTATAATTATAATTTAAAAATTATAATATTCAAGAATTGTAATACTCAAGTAAAATTGTAATACTTAAGAATTGTGTCCTGCTCATCGATTTTGAAATTAGGCTCATTCGATGTATTTTTGCGTAAAATGAAAATATCTGGCAGAAAAATATCTGTCCGGAATCTCTGTGAAGCGAGATATTGAGCGTTAAAGTTGATTAAAATGTTATTATGTAGCACGATCAACAATCTGTCATGTAGACAGTGGAGTGTATAGACTAGTACTATGTTCTAACACTTCCTCCGAGGAAAATTTTATTCGAATTATATAGTACATAACGTATACTATAGCATATCGAATAATATCTTCCTCGGAGACGAAGTTTTAGAATGTAATTCTAGTTAATTTCTGCACCGCGCACATTTAATCGCACCCTCAGGTAATCCCATGAGCTATTTATTGGTTTCGCGTAACCCATCGAAAGCAATCCGCTATTGTGGTTTCGTGTTTTACTGATTACTGATTGGTTACGTGATACGTGGCAAATATATCTCATAGGACTTCAACCTCAAAAGTAATTAGATTAGATCAAAGACATAAAGAATGGACTGCTCGATCGTATCTAATATAGTCATATCTAATATAGTCGACAAAAGTGTGAGAGGGAGAGAGAGAGAGAGAGAGAGACCGTGGAAAACGGCCTATTTCTCTCTCATTCTCTCTCTCTCTCTCTCTTTCTCATTATATCGATGAGTGGAAAAACATAAAGATTGACTGTTTTCTATGGTCTCTCTCTCTCTCTCATTTTTGTTATCACAGTCTAAATACAGTCTAAACAGTTGTGACACTGAGCGTCGGCGTCTTTGATATAGGAGAGACAAAGTGATCTGTGGCCATTTTGAAATACACGCGCTCACATTTAAATATTTTAGCTAAATTACACTGATTAATATGAGCGTTTTTAAATAAAAGACGCATATGATATAATGTATCACAATAAATTATTTCATCTTTTTTTAATATTGCAAATAAGGATAAAATTAAGTAATTGTTTTAGGTTATGTCATCTATATTTCTTGTTGGAAAACTGTATAGTAAATGAAATTATAAAATAAATGAATACTATTCATTTGTTATAAAATATACTATTATTGAAATGTGTGTGCATGCGCGCGCGCGGGTGCGTATGTATATACATATAAAACAAAGTGTTTACAGGTGTATATATTTAAAAAAAATTGTACTTTATTTAATAATCATAATTGCTGTTCTGGAAAAAATAAGAAATATAGAAGAATTAGAATAATATATTGTAGAATATTAGATAATAGAATAAAAAGTTCTTAAAAATAAAATAAAAAAATTAAATTAAAATAAGAAACAAAGTAAAATAATATCCATTATTTAACACATTTACAATTAATATCATAAATCCATATATCATTTATTTTTCAAATATTTTTACTATTATGTTCATATTATATATGTGTAATCATTAAAATACATAACAAATAAATAAATATGTTGAGAAATAAATACAGAAAAAAGTATGATTATTAGTAAATAATAATAAAAATTCAATAATAAAAATCAAATAAATATTGTAGTAGCATGAAATATTCAGTCACGCAATGATTAAAATTAAAACGATTAATGTATAATTGTAAATTTACTTTTTATTGAAAAATAAATATAACCTTACTTAAAAACACAAATTATTTGCTTTAAAAACAACAATTCACTGCTTTAAGTATACAAATTCTCTACATTAGCAGTTTTTTGAAGCATGGAATTTGTGTTTTTTAAAGCACTGAATTTATATAATTAAAGCAGAAATACATTATGTTGTATCAAGTTGGAATAACAGATACTTTAATCTCTAAAGTCTCGAACTTTAATGCTTGATAGCTCGATTTATAAGATCAATCGCCACGTTTTTCTATCAGATTCTTCCGTTTTATGTAAAAATGTGTCGAATGAGATTAATTTCAAAATCGAAAGTAACGACTCTCTTCTAAATAATTACCAGAATGAATTTTATTATTTGTTCGGTACTTTGATATCACAGTCTTGTTTTCCTAATTTGGTTATAATGCAGCTATCTTCTCTATGGTACAACTGACGCATGCGTGTGACGAATTTGTCTTATCAAAAAAAATGGTGTGTCACAATTGGTATATCTAGACTGTGACTATATTCAGATTCCCATCCGAGTGCCACCCAAGTATCACTCTTGTTATTTTCCGAATTTCTTGTTAAACAAAGATGACATGACACCTGGAGAACTAGGTGGGAATCTAAATTTGAGCTAAGGTAAATTTTCACAAGCTACTCTAACCGGTTATTTTAGCGACAAAAAGGATTATGTCATCAAAATGTGTTTGATATTCGTCAACTTTGATCATGTGATTCTTTTTGTCGCTGAAACAGCCGTTTGAGTAGCTCGTGAAAATTTACCTTAAATCTTCTCTCTTGGAGCGCCATTCCGTAACTATTTTTACACGCTTACCGACAGTTGTCAGTGTCGTTGCGTAGATATTTTATATGGTAAAAAACCACTAGAGTCCTATATATAAGAGAAGCGATTTCTGATTGGTGTTATCTCCCATCTAATTAAAGCAGCCATATTATATATACCCGCAGCGGAGAGCTGTCATATGTTTCCTTTCTACAACTGAACTGGTACATACACATAAAATAAATATATTTAGTATTTAATAAAAGTGAGGAAAAAAATTTTAGAACAGTCCAGTAAGAAACTTATATTTCAATGTCAAAAAAGTATTGCGTAGCCGCTGCTCCGAACCCAAGCGTTACTGTCTACACGTCCCACTGTCCACATGGGTTAGAACTCCGATAATTTGTTTTGAAGCAGTGACTGTGACAGATTTCTTAACCTGCATAACTGTCTTTAACTTAAAATATCTCGGTTCGCGGAGCAGAGCGATACTTTTTTTTTATAGATTTCTTCATTTTCATAAGAAAACACATCGATTGAGTATATTTTTATCAAAATTTGAGTGGATCGGAGACTTAACATTTACCTAATTTTTTTTTTCTTGTCAAATCTTTATTTTTACACGAAAACGCATCAATTCAGTATTTTAAATCGAAATTTAAGATGGAGCTCTTAACATTTACCAATCTTGCATACTGCGATTCCATGTAAAAATTTAAAATGCTCAATGATGGAAGAAGAGTCTGAAGTGATAGAACATTTTTTTGGCGTATATTTGTTATATTGTATGAATCCAAGATATAAGGGAAGAACTTATATAGGTTATACTGTGGATCCAAGACGTAGAATTAAACAACATAATGCTGGTAAGAAGCATGGTGGAGCATGGAAAACTAGTAACAGAGGACCATGGTAATTAAGAATTCTATTACATACATATGCAAGCATGGGTACGCACCACACGTACACACACATACACACACACATACACACACACACACACACACACACACACACACACACAGAGTATCTCAGAAAGTGATATTATATTCTATTGTTTTTAAAGATGAAAAATGTCATATAAATATATCAGAAATTTTTCCTTTTTAAAATTTAAACAGTTTTTGTTTACGAGAGAATATTTTAAAGATTTATAATTTATTTAAAGAAATTGCTGAAAATGATATTTTGTGTTTCAGGATACAGCTGCTCTAAAGTTTCCGTTAGCTTAGCCATACGTGAAATGAATATATCTGCTTTCTTAATATTTGACTAAATCATTTTGGTAACACTATTAATCTTAATCATATAATATTTAGATAAAAACTAATTTATTACATGTAATATCTGTTCATTTAACTTTTGAGATAAACAAAAAGTGTTTATATCTCAAAAAGAAAGAATTTCCGGACCTGCATTTATATGACATTTTTCAATCCTTATAGATAGAATACAATATTAAAGTTTGGCCATATATTTCTGGGATGCCCTGTATATTATACATACATGGAGTCTCTGCATACAGTACCCAATTGCTATAGTGGCTTTAGCATGAAAATAAAAAAATATCTAATAAATATATATCCCATTCCAAATAGTTTTGAAGTTATGGGATATTGAAATTGTCATAAATATTGTTTATATTTTGAAAACAAATGAAAGATTAGAAAAAGATTTAGAATTTAGAACAACAGAATAATGAACATTAAACAACATTTATTACAATTCATGCTTTCTTGCTTCAATATCCCGTAACTCTGAAATCGTTTGGAATCAGATATATGTTTATTAGACATTTTCAACTTGTTTTCATATGATGAAAATTATTGTAGCAGTTTTGGCATTGTAGACACCTGTATATAGTTATATAAATGATGTAAAACAAACCAATGAAATTATATAACTAGATATAAGATATTTTATATGTATATTCTAATTTCTTATAAAATTATCATATTCAGGAACATGATCTTGATTGTTCATGGATTTCCCAACAGTACTTCTGCACTTAGAGTAAGTTTTGAGCAAATTTATATTTTTTTAAGAAAAATTGTGTAATTTTTTAAAGAAATTAATTTTTTTTATATCATAAACATTACTTTCATTGTTTTAGTTCGAATGGGCTTGGCAACATCCAGATGTAAGTAGGCGGTTAAAACATGTTCCTAGGAAGAAGTCATCGCAGAAGATACTTGATTTTCAATTGATAGTACTCTCTGAAATGTTAAAAATTGGGCCTTGGTATCGTCTACCTTTAATTATACGATGGTTGGACTATCAATTTTCAAAAAATTATTACGAATACATATCTCCACCATTACACATGCCCATATGCTATAGCAAAGTCACTAGTTGTAAAGTTAAACAAACACAAAAAACAAATGAAGATAATATTCTATCACAATTGCCAATAAAAAAATCATTAATATTTTGTTCTCTTTGCGACTCGAATATAATAGAGAAAGATTCTGTCACTTGTATAAAACCAAAGTGCTTTTTGATTGTTCATTTAATCTGTTTAGCAAAAGAATTTTGTAAAGATGATATGATCTTACCAATTGAGGGTATTTGCCCTATGTGCAAGTCTAATGTCCTCTGGGGAGACCTTATAAAAAAAAAGAATGGTTATTATCAAAGCTCTTGAAGAAATTAATATTAATTTTTCCAATAATGATGCTATTTAGTCATATATATAAGATCTTATAATTATCTAAAATATAATAAATACGAATTTTTATCTTGTACTTCAAATCTAAGTTATCACACCTTTTATTATGTGTACACACGCACGCACACACGCAGGGTATCTGATGGGTTTTGATAAAACGCTTATGTGTAGATAGAGCGGACTAGAGTTCCTAGAAAAACATGCCCTCAAAATGTCAAACTGCTAGGGATATGTTCTTAGTGCTTATATTTTTATACACTTTCGTACTTAGTTCTGTGACGAGAGTAAAAGCCGCAGCACAGACTTTTGCATAACGCATAACGCATAAGTGAATCAGAATAATAAACTAATCAGAATCTTTCTTTTCCTCCAATTCCATGGAAAAGAATTTCAATTGATTGATTTCTTTATGCACTATGCATTATGCGTACACAAGAGTCTGTGTGCTGCGGTCATAAGCCAGACGGACGTGTTTGTCTCGGCTTGGATATTGCGTCATCCCCAATTTTTACGCCTACTGGGCTTTTTGTTTCGATTTCACATTTCGTTTTTATTATTCACCGGCGCACTTCCATTATGAAGGTATGCGCGGAACATATTTGATATTGGCCGTTATTTCGTTGTTTGAAACAATGTTTTATTTGAAATTTTATATTTTTATTAAACAAATTGTATATATATTTCTTTATAACTATATTATTTCTTTACAATTATAACATTTCTTTATACTTATAATATGAAATACATCAATAAAGAATGTTTTACGTTATTTCATGTCTATAAGTTTTTCAATAAGCGTGCTATTTCCTTACATTATGATTCGTGCTGCTATAATGAGGGTAAGTTAACATGAGCCAATCGAAAACATGGACCGATAGCCAGATTCTGTTTTTCTAAGGATTCTAGAGCGGACTAAACTGAGTCGAAAAGTCTTCTACCATTTTACAGTTTTCACAATAGTTAACAAGATATTAATTAATAATTATTGCCGAATATTGGTATCTTCAATTTTTCAATTTTTTACTCAAATACTATTAACTTTACAGAAAAACAACAAGAAATAAAAATTGTTTATTTTCTTTGCATTAAATTCCAAGAATTTTTTCAGAATTTTTAATTAATTTTTTAATAAAGAATGATGCATTTTCTTTTAATGGATATATTTATAGATATATATTTCTATAAAGTGACAGTATTTGAGTAAAAAAAAAATTGAAAACTAATATTCGTTAATTTTTAGTAATTAAGGGAGTCGTGTAAAAAGAAGATTTTTAGGAACTTTTTTTTTAAAGGACAATGGATCGTTTTAAAAATTGTTGGTGTTTTACTACATATTAAAGACTAAAAAAAATTTTTTTTATTTCAATGTAGTTCATTTTGTAACTTTTATAAATAAATGTTGACGCAACCTCGTCGCCGTAATCGTGAATTGGTAGGAAATCTAACACCTTTTGTATTTGTACGAAACAAAAAACAAATGGTTTCTTATTTTACATGACATCTTGTCGATGAACCTAAAAAATAAGTTAAAATTAACAAAATGCACAAAAAAACGGACCGAACTTATTTATCCCAATACAAGTTATCAAAAAAAATGGCCCAAAGGAACAAGAGGACATACATGTTGTTCTTCAAACAGATTAAATAAGTATGGAAATAACTTTTAAATATAATGACATTTTCTTGGAATAGAACGGAATTCTTCTATGTTTACGTGAACCTTAATAAACTATTGAGGTTTATAATTAAATTTTATTTTCAGAATATTGAAACAATTATTCGTCTGTTTTTGCGCTGTATGAGCTGCCGTAAGCGCTGAAATAAAGCATCGGTTGCTCCGGCATCGAAAATAACGCTACCGAAAATGTTGCATTAACATCGACTACTCTAACACTGTATAAGGGTTGCCATAAGCGCGGAAATAACACATCGGCTGCTCTGACGCTGTAGACTGCCGTTGCATTAAAATGAATGCAATAAAGTTCTGGTTTGCCCTAGGTATCGATATATTATTATGAATAACAAAAATTTTTTACCGTAATCGAAGAATTTTATGATATTAGATGTACAACTTTGCTTCCGCCGTTTTCCTATAGATGGCTTTAGCGGTAAGTGGTGGTCGAAATAAATAGATCATACAATAAATTTGGGCATCTGTCTACATAACCCCATAGAAACATTAGTCGATTTGTGTCTGCATCATAAAGTTATTCTCGATTGAAAATGTCAGTTTACGAGCCAAATTCTCGTCATTTGCGGGAGGTTTTAATTTTTTGCTTCAATATGAAGAAATCTGCGGCTGAGGCTCATCGAATGCTCTCAAATACTTATGAGGCCGCTATTAGTGAAAGAACGTGTCGTGAGTGGTTTCAACGCTTCAAGAACGGTGATTTTGACGTCCAAGGTCATGCTCTGTATTTGGTGGGATCAGCTTGGCGTAGTGTATTATGAACTGTTAAAACCAACTGAAACAATCACAGGCGATTGGTATTGAACGCAATTGATGTGTTTGAGCCGAGCATTGAAAGACAAACGACCGCAATACAACGAGAGACACGACAAAGTGATTTTGCAGCATGACAATGCTCGACCCCATGTTGCGAAAGTGGTCAAGACATGCTTGGAAACGTTGAAATGGGAAGTCCTACCCCACCCGCCGTATTCTCCAGACGTTGCTCCCTCTGACTATCACTTGTTTCGATCAATGGCACACGGCCTGGCTGACCAGCACTTCCGGTCTTATGAAGAAGTAAAAAATTGGATCGATTCGTGGATAGCCTCAAAAGATGACCAGTTTTTTCAACGCGGGATTCGTACGTTACCCGAAAGATGGGAGAAAGTAGTGACCAGCGATGGACAATACTTTGAATCATAAATGTATAACCAGTTTTTTACAATAAAGCCTCGAATTTCGGAAAAAAACGGCGGAAGCAAAGTTGTACACCTAATAGTTAACTAATGAAAACTTTCACAAGATCGTCCAGATTCTAAGGGAGACACTATTCGCGCTATGGACGCAAATACTATCAACGCTGTTCGTGGAATCAATAGCGCGATAGCGTTAGCAAGTACCATGACTGTTAGTAGCGTTTAATAATGGAAACTTCCATGATCATTATATGTTGTACTTAAACATCAAAATAACTCAGTTATAATTATTTACATTAAAAATCTTTTTGATGATTCTGTCAATGACGTAATTCAAACTCGGATGTGACGTTTCTCTTTTACCGTCAAAAATGCGTAGCACACGGACAATTCGGCTGTATTTGTGAAATATAAAGCATAATCGCTCGTAACCGATAGATATCGATTCGTTTAAAGACGACTGTTCCGTTATATGTATCAATTCAATTTTATTTAGTTGATCTTCGCTTCTAGTTAAACAAAATTGCCAATAAGATTGGAAACTAACCTCGGAAATTTCCTATAAACGCTGATACGGCCAATTAAGATTATAATCATCGATCTGAGACAATTGAGAATTACTGTATCTACGTTGGATGAAATTAGTGCAAGGAATCCCCGATCCTCGTAGCCGCGAGAGAAGGTGACTCATCAACCTAGAAGATTGTATGTATATATTAGATGTATGTATTGTATGCTTGTGTAAATATCATCTTTAACTTTTCAAGGATAAAAATATTAGAAGCTGGATTATAATAATCTTGGATCTCATATGAAATTGTCGTCATGATCATTTTGTTGACTACAGCTCTGAATAGCTTGTAGCACTAAATAGCAAAAGCAAAAAGCAAAACAAAAAAAATTAAGAATTTTGATGCTGATTTTATACTTCAATTTGTAATGGAGTTGCAGACAAGAAGAGATTTAATAATAATATTAGCATTAGAGATACGAGAATATTTGGAAGATGTGTCATCAACTGATAGCGATTATATATAGCGATGAAGTATTGGATAATATTGATATGTTTAATAAAAGAAGAAAAATATCCAGAGTACATAATTACATTAAATAATAATGCCAACGTTGAGATCAACAAGACTTTAAGATTCATTTTAGGTATATTTATATAAATAATATCTTTCTAAAAATATTTGTGTTAAAATTATTATGGTTAAAAAATAGTTCACTTGATTTGAATAGAAAATGCAATATCTTAACTAGTAATATATATATATACTATAATAAAAAGTGTATCATTTGATTTATGTCATTAACTAAAAAATGTTTACATATTCTCATTTCTTAATGCTCAGATCGATTTTTGATCGATTTAATGTTGATAGAAATATCGCATTATATATTACAAGACGTGTTATAAGTGCAATTAATGAACTGGCGCCAATTGTAATAAAATGGTCTAAAAATGAATGAGTTCAGCAAGTGTAGGCAGGATTTGAAGTTGCCAGTGGATTCCCAAAAATCATCGGTCCTATTGATGGCATTAATATTCCAGCTCCCAAACATAACTTAGAAGCATATATTAACCGCAAAGATCACCATTCAATTCAGTTTCAGATAATATACCTTTATATTTTAACATTAGAATATTTGATGAAATCATTTAAATTTCTTACAGTCTTCTTGTTTCACAGTTTTACAAAACATTGTTTTTCTTAACAGCGAAAAATAGAAATATACTATAATATAGAAGAAGACTAAAGAAATTGAAATACTTTTATCAGGCATTTTAATGTTAATGCTGTCTGTGCAATTTCATTTAATCTGTATTATCTTCTTTTGTAGACTATATGTGATCATACATGTCAATTTACTCATTATTTTATTGGACGTGTAGGATCTGTACATGATCAACGAATATTTCGTCTGTCTGAAGTACAATCCTACCTTGGAGATGTGTCAAAATTTCCAGACGAGTGCCATTTATAGTTTTCTATCTTTTCTTTACGTCTCTTCTCTTTACTTTCTTCAGCTTTTCGTGTTTCTTCTAATATTTCGATAGCATAGTTATCTATAGCTTTACATTTACCTAAAAGTAGAAATATTTTTTATATCTCAGTGTCTAATTCAACTAGACTAACAGTTATTTACGATTAATTCAAATGACTAACAGTTATTTACGAGAAATTATATTGGGTGAACAAGTAGAACTGCAACTGCTATTGCTTGGAGATATTGATCTTTCTTTTAATATTATACATCCAGTTGACGAAATAGTTGCCAATGGTGCTATATAAGGTTTCTTTCTAAGAAGGTTTTCCATAATCTAAGCAATTAATATTGTATAATACTAATTGTGAGAGTGTAAGAGGGAAAAAGTTACATTATGTTATGTCAATTAAAGTAGTACTTACTTTATAATATTTCCATGTGCGTGTGTTATTATTGGATTTTGCATTATGATATCTTTAATTGTCTTATATGTACGTTTCATTGTATTTATTCTCGTTGTGCATTGTACCAGAGACATTATATTTCTTGGTGTGCATGGTTGCTGCAATTTCATTCTATGCTTTCTTATAACTGATTTTATCTGAAGATATGGAAGATTCTCGTTGTCTATATTCTTCAAATAAGAGCATTATTGTCTCATGAGATCATCTGAAATCTGTAATATAAATTATTACGACATAGAGTATATAAAAAAAATAGAGATAACATATTCATAACAAATATGATT